GATAATCATATATTTTACCACTTTGAGTCTCATAATTTCATTCATTTTCTTGTATTTATTGTGGTTTTCATGATGTTTTTGTTGCATTTAGAGTTCGAATGAGCTTTGTCGCATTTTAGGAGTCCTAGAGTGTCTTTGTTCTTGTTTTAGGTCTTTTTGTATCTGATTAGGTACTTCGGAGTGTTTTGGATCAAAGAAGATGCATAGAGTTTCGAAGAAAATGGAGAATTCACTCTTGTCAATGAAGAGTCAAGAAGATGTGTCTCAAATATCATGTTGGATAAAGGTCTTTTCGTTGGTGTATCGAGCTCAAATTTGGTCACAAGATGGGAAAATGAGTTGGCTTTCATTTGGCGCTGGATTGAAGTCGTTCGGATCATTGGTTTGGATATTACATTCAATTTAGTACCTGCATATCGTTCTGGCCAAAGAAATTATCTTCAGTTCACTCAGAGTTGACCAGTGAACCACAGAGTTGACCAGACTTGATCCAGAGTTGACCAGATCTGACCCAGACCCGAATCCGACCCAGTTCGCGACCCAGTCCACGTTTTTGTTCTAAAAACCCTCATTTTCCATCATTTTTGGGGGAAAAACATTTGGGGAAGACAAATGAGGCTAGGATTGAGAGCAAACGCCATTTGGGAAGGCCTTCATGGCCTAGAAGACCCCAAACAATGGGGATTTGGAGGATTTGTGCATCAATTTAGAAGATTTGAAGATTTTCTTCATCCTCACTATTTGGATTTGTTTCTCAAAACTTTATCTCTTTTTCTTGTGATATTTTCTTTGATTTTAATGTTGATTTGGGTTGCTTAGACCTGTTTTAAGGATTGAGTGTGAACCCATTTGGAGATTTGATGGATTTAATTTCATTGTGTTTAATGCTTCTTTTACTTACAATTTGCCATGAATATGAGCTTAGATGTATGTTAGAGATGAATCTAAAGAGAAATTGATGTTGGGTGATTCTTAATTTACTCTTAATATTTGTTAATCTTGATAATCACTAATGGAAGTTGGGATTTGTTTAGATTTGACGTGAAATTTGGATTATGAATCATTGAGTTTATGGTTCCTTTTTTATGTTCTTGATTGATCACCTAGAGCATGATTAAGCTTCTAATGAAACTCATGGATGTATCTAGTGTAGGTTTGGGGTTTATGCCTTCTTTGAATCATTTCCTTGATTGATCACCTAGGATTTGTGATAGGATTTAAATGGACTCATGCCTTTAATTCATCGTGCTTAACAAGATTTGTGTTCTCTTTGATATTGGTTTGGTGATATGTTCATAATGCTTGTTTGAGATTCATGACATCAAGCATGTTATGTTGAGTGTTGCATCACATAGGGATATGGGTATTAACGAATGTTTACTAAACGTAGATAATATCATTAACGATCAGTAACAAAGTTAAAAAAATTCACATGCATACTATATATAATCTTTATAATATGTTAAAACATTATTTTACTAATTACAAAATATTACGAGTTGTTATCCATCATTAATTTTTTATTTCAACACAAATATGAAAGTTAAAAAACATAAAAAATATGTAGTTTTACGGCGTTATTCAAAATATTATTTCTATATATATTAATTTCTAAGATGCATATAAGATTTAAAATTAACAGTCATTCATATTTACTTTTATAAACAATAAATCGTGTTATTAGATATGAAACGTTTAATACCCGCACACAATGCGGGTCAATCATCTAGTGATATTGTGGAACTCTAACATCATCAC